TTTTGGATAAGCACTTTTTTGCTGTGGAAATCTGCAGACTTTGCCTTGTTATTGCTGGCAGGGTGTGGTGTTGTGACTACTTTCCAAAGTAACCCCTGCCACCTGTAGGAACTTCTACAGTCCCATATAAACAAACACCCCGCATTCCCAGACCTTGTCTCGATAGGACAGGTCGCCGTTACCATGACAACCGGACTGAAACAGATGTCCCATCCGCTCAACCACTTTCCATCTATTTTGAAAGAAAGTGGCGAACTTGTGCAGTCATGTAAATTTCTTTACCACACGCTGTGTTCTTGTGGTTTGTGAATTCTGGGTGACGTCCCTAGTGGGGTGGCGGTAATTAATTCAACAGCAGACAAAAGACAGCAGAACAAAATCAAATTTGAAAACATTTCTTTTTTTGATTTGCAAAATTGTCTCAACTCAGAGCATAGATAATTCAGTAGTGCTATACAGTCATAAACAGTGGTTTTAAATTCAAATGTAAAAGTGTCTGCGGTACCCAAATCAAAATCTTGAATAAACATACCAGTGCTAGAAATACCCATCTGCAGTCTGAATTTTGCACAGAAATTTTCAATATTGCAAAAGAAAAATTAAACAAAGTACTTCTTTGCTGTTATTGCTATATAAAAATTTCTACTAAGCTAAAAAAGATTACATTTTTTTAAATATCTACAGATAGCATTTCATTTGAATTGAATTGCAGAACAAAATGTCTATGTTCTACAATATTGCACAGAACACTGAAAAAAATTAAGTAGATCAATCCATACATACCTACAGACATAACACTGGCTCTATACAATTGGCACAGTTTGGAGCCTTTAAATAGTATGAAGACTATCTATCACAGGCTAGTATTGCCTGGACACCTTCCAGGCAGTTTATTAGTATTCGTCTCAGACCCATTTACAAATTTAGAATTCTCTGCAGTGATTGTACTCCTCACTTTACATTCCTCCCATCTCTCCTGGACATAGTTGTACCGACCTGCATACACGGACAGAACAACTTTAACACCCAGTGGTGTCTGTCTTTCCTTGCCTCTGCCCTCTTTCAGGACTCGGAATCTTTTTTTTTTCTGCGTACCTGCACTGGTGTATTGCCCCTCAAAATGCAGTAAAGTAGCATTTCAAACGGCTAACGGCCCGATACTAGTTTGGCACCCAGGGTACACTGAAACATGATCAAACGAAACTGAGATGATGAAAAGATGAAGAAAAAATTCATGCTGGCTAGAACACTGGTAAAGGTGCTAGAAGAAGAATCGGGGTGAAAACGTGTGGACATTTGGAAATGTAATCACGAGTTTGCCCCAGCCCTGAACTGGTGATTCAGCTACGCACATGCTGACCTTCCCACCCAAAATGTGTAAAATGTAGACAGCCAGAATGTCAATATACAGGAGTGGGTTAGCACATGGCTTTTACATCAGCAAAGATCGGGTACCCAATGCAATTTAGGGGTGACAATACTGGATTTTCAATCAAAGTCAATTTTCGGGTGATTCTTAAATGCAGAACTGGCTGAATCAGACCTATCCTGTAGCATTGATACAAAAATTTGATGTCACTGATGGAAAATGGCTGTTTTGTATCGTAGGCTGGTTCTAGCTATCTTGCAAAAAAAAAACGTACGATGCTTCAGGTATGAAATGATAATGAAAATGTGCTACGAATTGGCAGCTAGTTTTGTCAATATCAGACAAATTTCCTCATCCAGAACATCTTTCGCTTTGCCATCCTGAAATTTAATTTTTAGGGGCAGAGAGCCTCAGAACCATCCAGGTTTACTTGAAAGAAAAAAAGGAATCAACCTAAACATACTGAAATTTTCATCCCCGCCCTTTTGGACCTCCCCCTAACAGCTGTCCATCCTGCAATTACTGATTACATATTCAAATAGCTTTTATGGAGTATTTTTACATAAACCACTTAGTTCATTGTCAGGATTATCACTTGAGTGAGAAGAGCTGGTATTAGGAAGTCATACTGGCATGCCAATACGTAATAATGAATGAATAATGATAATACACATGTATTTCTTACTAGCTGTATATGCATATTTTCCTTTTAAAAAGCATTTACAAACACTTCTAAAACCTTTCATGCCTTAATTCTTTTCATAACATTACACCATTGGTTTACAATGTTAATTTAATATCATTGAAGAGATTTTTTTCTAGCATAGCTTCTTTACACAGAATTAATATGCAGCTAACAAGAAATTTCTTTTGAGTCACAAGAAGAATTATTGTTTATATTCATGAGTGTTATCACCTTGACAATCTATCTAGTTATCATTTCTCTGAATCATCCTACCATATGCTCCCTTGCTCTTTTGACTAGAAACACAGCCCCTTTCCAAGGCTAACATATTTTATTTAGCTTGCCGGTATCACAAATCTAATTACTATACTGTTTGGCACCTCAGAAATTACCAGCTTATAGATTAATTCTATCTCTGCTTGACTCTAAATGATCATGAAGGAAGGAAGACATTTATTTGCTGTAATTTGCAGTAAGCACAATTTGTTTGTCACACATTGAAGAAGCACTTGTATTTAAGATTAATAATAATATCATGTAAAAGGAAGGACAGTAAACATCTAGACCTCTTCTTTGGAGTTATATCATACACAGCAAGTAGCGACATACTTCATATGACAAACATGTAAATTATATGATACACATGACTTCATACTATAGGGCCGAATTAATAATTTGAATTATTCTAAATCAGAAAAAGGATTTTGGAACTAACTTAGTTTTAAAGAAGATAAGGAGCACACTATTGAATATAAAGCTTAATGAAAAGAAAGGAGTGCAAATTGCAAAAATCTTGGATTGATTTGTCCTCAGCTTAGTTTTATTTCTTTTGATTGATATTGCTTATACACAAATTAATAATAAAAAATCAAATCAAAGCTTCTGGAGTTATACTACAAATTGACAAAGGTGAAGAAATGTGACATGGGTAAAATGTTCTGAACAGGGAGATGATTTCAACACTTTCTTTCTAAATTCCTTTGCTGCCTAGCTAGATTTAATGGCATCCCAATCCTTGTGCAACCGAACTATTACGAACACAATAGCGTTGGTGATTACCCTCCCCACAGAATAGCCACTCTTCCCCGCTCGCGGACTGAATGTCAGGTTTGGATAGCATCAGAGCCTAGGGGCATGCCGCGATTTCTCCAGTCATTAACATATCTGTGGTGTGTTCTGGTGCCGAATAGGAGTCGATTGCCTAGATACCAAGTCACCAGGCAGCAGTATGCACATTCTTCACTAAACGACCGGTCTCGACTATACAAGCAGCGGGATTACATGATGTACAAACAAAGAACATTCTTTATCAGTACTGTGGCCCTTGGAAATACCTTGAAAGCAATAAGTTGTTATCGGTAGATATATTAAATCACTGGAGAAAACTATCAGAAAGACTATTTCAAACATGGATACCTTTTTTTTAAATCTGTCATATGTATCTCAATTAGATTATATAAAATATGCAAGTCGAACTTAAAAGTTGACAGTTTTCAAAGAGGTATCATAAGGCTTAAGCCAATGAGCAAAAGAATTTTTTTTAAAATCTGTAGTCAGATTTGAATATTATTACTTCGAACTGCAAGGAGCTAAGGCAATAGAAAACTGCTGGTTGGGATTTACAATATCAACCACTGGTTGGTAATTTTCACACGTTTGGACAAAACATATATTCAGGAATATTAAATACTCAATGACAATGACTGGTATATATCCATTCATTGAAAATAAACCTATATGCATCCACAATAACTGGAAGATCAGGTAAAACTAAAAGCTGTCAAAATCTTCAAAATCCATTGCTATCTTTTCATCTGCTATTTCTTTTTTTTTTTGCAAATACTACATACATGTAGTAGTTAAACAGGCAAATGTTTTATGAGTTATGAAAGTGACATTTTTGACACTTGAAAGACCCCATATCAACATCATCTCTTGCCAAGTAAACAAACGCGTTGCCAAAAAATCCAGCTAGCATAAAAATGTGACAGTTATCAAGCATATATGATAGGAACAAAATCCATCTGGATATTTTGTTTCTATAAGAACAAGATTTAAAGCGAAATCCTGCTTGTTTTGGTGCATATTCATGAGTTGTCTACTTATGCAGGTCCTTGATTACATCGCCCAGTAAACAAAGTACCTTCTTAGGCCCTCATATGGGGGAGGGGGGCTCAAAAACCTTTCTCTACTTTTCCCATATAAATACCATTTTACGTACAAAATAAGAAAATCATTACATCACATATACAGGGACGTAGTGATATATGATATTGAGAAGAATATGAACTGTTTGGGGGCGATGTTTTAGTTCGCTAAACTTAAGATTTGTCGCTATGACGGGAGAACCCTTTGAAGTAAAGTCGGGGAGGGCGCAAGAGACTGTAACACAAACAAATCAAAACAAAGCACAACAACTCGACTTTTCCGCATTTTTTCCCAAGATAGAAGACCACACAAACAATCCAAAACCCTAAGAATAAACCTACACATTCTACAGGGCTGGAAATACGCGTAATTTGGAGATATATCGGTGTGAAGGGGGCGACTCGAGCCTGCATCTGACACCCAGGCAGCTTCCGAATGGAGCGAGGGGCCGGATACGGGGGATCCTGCAAACACACGCCGCTTCTGAAAAACCTTCACATCGGCATCGGCAGTGTCACTTCCAGACTCATCTCCAACCTAATACATCCCACAGTCAGTCTATTGATATTACACGCTATCTATTTTAGGCTGGACTTAGGCCTATTTTCACCCTGCCCGAGACGATCCTGCTGAAGCCAGCTCAGACTCTGAGGTCAAAATACCGAACAAATTACCAGCCAAGGGTTGGCACGACACCACCGCATCGACAACTTTGGCGCTACGCTCTGCAGCATCCAGACAGTCTACCGGCTCCGAGCGAGCATTCGTAGCGAGCAGGGATTGTTATCTGTGACTTACCGGCTCCGACGGCGGACAGCAGGCCGATCAGGCTGCACCAGACGGCGAGAAAGACGCCGAGTCTCCACACGAGCTTGCACAGGTCCGCCATGACGGCTGGCTGTGGAGGTCTGGCTGGTCGTGACGTCATCCGGCCGTGCCAAGTACTGCACTCACCCCCTTCGGGAAACCGCACACAAAAATACGCATAATACTAAAGTAGTTACTGTACATCTGTACTAGGAGAAAACCTTTGGGGAATTTATTAAAAACAAACAAAAAAAATAAACAAACAGAAAGGTAAAGACTATAGTAAACGCTATAATCATATTCTTATATCACCCTTGATAAGATAACAATACTATTCGTATCTTGATGACAAGTTATGAAGTTCATTAATTTTATGAAATACTTTGGATATGTGCATTATAACTTGTATGATAGGGTTTTAAGGCCCAGGCATTTATGCCGTTTTCATAAGAATTATTCTAAGCATAACATTGCGGATATGTCCTACATGCGCCGCTAGCTTTTTCGGGTCGAAATAAAATATGCAATCCTCATGACAAAACTATAAAAGCGCCTTCTAGCGCTAGCACTAAGAAACGCATCTCACTGAGACTGTTTCGTGTTCAACATTTACGCTCAAAGGTATACGTAATTAACAAAACAATATTACTTGTATAACAGTGACTGTCTGACATCAATTATATAATGCACAGTAAACAACAATAGGGGAGACGGTTTCTCGGAATAGGCTGTGGCTTTTGTCTGTAGCCGACTGTCGAATGGAACGTTTGTCTGGAAAAACATTATAGTCTCCTGGGTCAGAATTTCAAAGCTTGCGCCTACTGTACATAATTGAGAGGGTCAGGAGGTGAATCGTCTTGTTTCCTGACTTGTTTGTATAAACACTTGACCTTTGATCGCCGAGTTTTGCTTGTAATTGTTCTTTTGTGGATGCGTCACACCAAGGAGCTTCGGGCGTCATCAAAGAAGTAACGTCAGGAATAAGACAGGAAACGGCTATCATCTTTAACTCATTTCCCGAGCGAAATGGCGACTCCAGGCAGCAGGAAGATTTTCGTCCTCCTTGTGACGGTTGCGATGTTCCAATTCGTGACGCAGGTAAGATAGCTCAGGGCAGTGTTTACGACACAAAGCAAAGTAGACTATACACATGTACATGTCATGGCTGCTGGTGATTTTTTTGTCACGGACACAGACGCGATGCTTTGTCTGAGCTTTCTTTGTGTGATATGTATCTTTGACAGGGTTGGCTTTCAGGACGGTCGTACTTCTAGCGTTATACACAAGTATCAGATGATCTTTATTCGTGACGCCAAAAAGCATATTATGTGCTCGGTTGTTTTGCTACGCAAATGGATGTTGACATTAATGTTCAAAGTCCTTAGTCCAACAGAAGTTCAGACCTGTTCTTCTCGGTTTTTCTGATCTCGTCGAATACTATTTTTTTTCGTTCGTTTTAAACGTCATTCATGGATAAGGGAAAGTGTGTGATAATATTATACAGTGTACTACGATTGTTTAGGAGCAGTTCTTCGCCAAACCATCGGTATATGTTAGAACCTACGAACTTTAGAACGCCATCAACAACATTTTTGGGCAGGCATCAACCTCGAAAGGAAATGAAGGAAATGGGGGGGGGGGCAGCGGAAGTTAGTGAATCACTTTGTTATTCCAAGAAGCTTTAATTTAAAGCTTGATTTTGAGCTTGTTGATGATAGCTGATACGACGACAAAGGTGTCAGTATATCAAACTTTTACTTGAAGCATGTTTATTACCTCCGGGGAAGGAGATATCCTTCCGCGAGAGGAGGTTTTACTATGGTTCGAAACATTTCTGTCAGCAGCTGTTTCTCGCGATCGGCTGGACGGATTTGTCTGTGGTTTGGTATACGTATTGCTATTGGGCTGCAGATGATGCAGAACGTTTTTGTTTAATTGCATATGTGTTTATGGGCGTCGAAATAAAAGGTTTTTAAGTGCTCCGGACACCCCCGCCATGCTGAAAATGGTAATTACCATGTTGTTAAGGAATGGGGCGGTTGCAGTTTTGGGTCTTAGCATTCAAAAGGGGTCAAACAGAGGGGTGTCTGGTTCCGATAAAAATTTTGGGTGACGGCGCGGGATGACGGCGGGGGTAATGGCGCGGGTGACGGTGCAGGCTGTCAGACTGTGAGACACGTTAATCAACAGTCCATACCGAACCAACCGTCAGTAGCCATCAAACACATACAAACATATTACGCACATAACTTTCATACTACACACAAACAAATAACCTAAACCAAACGAACACAAAAAAACCCGGAGGTTTGAAATCTACGATTTCCCTTGTTGTTTTTAAAAACGCCGAAGTTAAAAAATTGACCGGGCAACTCCTCTGGACTATTAAGCCGATACTGTTCATTCAGCCTGCAAAGGAGTCTGGTGGAGACTAGCATAGAAGCCGATAATCTAGTGTATAGTGAATTACTATATAGGACGATTTTCATACATTTTGAAATACTTTCCAGACATCGTCGTTTGTCCATTACTACTCCTCTGCTGAGGAGTCCATGGAAGGGAGTGGGGAGAGTAGTGGGGACGGCTCGGCGCTGTTGCCCGACTCGCTAGAGGAGTACCAACGCTACCGCTCTTCCAGGGGAAGGGTACCGGACTCCGCATTTCGACAGTGGTCCACGTGGTCACGATGTACAAGGTCTTGTGTTCAGAAACGGTACGGAAATATTTTGCAATATTGTCTCCGTTATAAATTTGATTACTAGTATCTGTATGACATCCGCGCGCCCATGAAATTTCTTCCGTTTCGAAAAAAAAGTTTTCGATCATACTGTAAATCGTACAAAGTAGCTGCAAAATTAGCAAATATTTATGTCCTACAATGCCAAAATCCATATTCCAAAGGACAAAAAGAAAATGTGAAGACACGTAAATAAAGAGTCTACTAGTATCCCTTGCTATACCTACAGTGTGTGTGCTTGGTCAATATTGTTTAACCTTCATGATAACGTAGATTTTATAATAAACTTTATTTGCCAAACTTTTTTATTCGCACACTTGCATCAGTTTGGGGTACCCCAGAGGATGACATCTATACAATCTAATCAAGATGGCCTTATTATGTTACTCTGCAGGTACCGTGAGTGTAAAAGGTTTCTACAGTGCGGAGATGAAATTCAGACCCAGGCGAGGTTCTGTTCCGTACCGGGAACAGCGTGTGAGCGGCCCGACACCTCCACCCCTGCCGCCCCCGATGTTCTACCGACCACCGGGGACCAGGGATGGCTACCCGTCACTGAACGAACTTCAGTTGAGATAGACTCTGAAGAACACACCGAGGACAACAACGGAGACGAAGGTGTGGTGAAGAAAGTTCCTTTCAGACACAAATGTGGCAAATCTTGATAAATGAATCCCGTTTTTATCATGAAAGTCCATCTGTGTTGGTAGTTACATTTTTAAACGGTTAAAACTTTAGATCCAACACAAAAAGTTCTCTCACCTAGAGCTTTGACCAGTCACTCTGGTCTTCCTCAGTAGACTGACCCAGTGAGGCTTGTCACGTGGCTTCTTTGAAGTGTGACGTCAACACTGGGTCAAAGGTATCTGGTAGACGATGTCGGCCCCCGTCACGGTTTAGTGAAGGGTGATGGGCCCTGATGAATCCTGGTTTTTATTTAGTTTCGACATTGAGCCATGGTGTTGTACACTGTGATAGTTACCCAACAACATTTCTAATAATGTTTTACTGAATACTTTGTCGTCACAGAAGAAGACCCTTACCCCGACCAGTCGGAAGGCGAGTTCAACTCGTCGGGCTGCGGCGTCAAACCACGGCTACCCCGCTTCAGGATCGTGGGGGGTCGGCCGGCCAGACCCGGTAGCTGGCCATGGCAGGTAAACTGTAAAAACTTCATCTTCGAGTTGATAAAAAAATGTACCCAGCATCTTTGGAAAACCCCAGCAAACTATTTATGAAGTTCTAAAATCTTCCCCATTTCCCGTGCCTAGGTCGCCATGTTGGATAAGGAATACTTCGGGCACTTTTGCGGAGGAACACTCATCTCACCGCAGTGGGTCCTGACGGCGGCTCACTGCTTCCGGCGGAAGTCCACACAAAAGAAGTCCCTGGTCAGAGTCGGGGAGCACGACTTCCTGACGCGAGAGGACACACAGAAAAACGCTCAGGTGAGGCGACAAGAGATGAGTAGAAAATGTGTTCACAGACATAACGCTGTGACACACAAAACACGTGCAGGCACACGCACACGTGCATTGCTCACTCGAAGACAAAATCACCTCGTTAGAATTCGAAAGAATCTTCAGAATAGAAGTTTTTGTGTCTGTATCTATATAGCCAGGATAACCACCCTTCGGCGTAACAGCTTTTCAGGCACGCGGTCCGGCGGCAGCTAGCTATATCACACCGAACGACCTGTTACATCCAATCTTTGCACATGTAAGTGCAGGAGTTGTTAAAAGCTTTCTCGTGATGATGCCCGAACTGTGCTTGGTGTCAGCGAGTTCTACTCTACGATAGTTCTTGGAAAATACGAGTATTTGAACACCTCAATCCGGCTTGATTGATTGTTAAGTCTCATATTTGAAGGCACTATACTATTTCTTGTTCTTCTTTAACGCCCAGCCTTCTTTAAGACCTTGATGATTTTTGTTTCTTCAGATAGCCAAAGTAATTCTCCACCCTGACTACACAACCGACACCGATCATCACGACATAGCTCTCCTGAAGCTGAAGAAACCGGTCCAACTCAGCCCTGCTGTCTACCCCATCTGTCTGCCGGAACCAGGGGAGTTTCCGCCGGTAGGGACCGGATGTTACGTCACGGGATGGGGCAAACACGTGCAGCCATCTTGGGGAGGAAGCAACGTTCTCAGAGAGGTGAGTTTATTTTGATGACAACAGATACTAGCAAAAGTAAAAAAAAGTCTAACTGTTCTCCAACTCAACGAAATTGGACTCACGGGAATTTTCGACCGAATTTATCTATAGGTCTCTAGGAAGATTTCCGCATCGTGGCAACGACTTTCCCTTTAGCGATAGTTTCAAGAACAAGAACTTGCAAGTAACAATTGATTGCAAGTAACACATGCAAGTGATTGGTCATGAATTATCCTGATGAAGGCGACAGTGGTCGCTAAAAATTTGATCTCTGTAAACTGTGTGTTGGAATAAAGTTTAAGCAAGTAACAATGTATGAATCTATGTACTTACCCTGTCCTTGGTGCTGAATGTCCTTGGTACTGAATAACTGTTCGTCTGTGGTGCTATCTACTACATATATTGCGTAAATATCAATTTGAGACATCCTAGGGTATTCTCCAAGCAGAGGTTTAGAGTTTGACATATTTTGACTATTTTTATGCGTTTTTATGGGGCTTCGCTTTTGTCCTAGCATCTAATTTCATTTCACGCCAGCCCAAATGGTAACTGTCTGGCAAACGGATAGCCAATTTGACACTGAAAAATTTGCTTTGAGATTATTTATTATCATAGGAGCAATTTTCTCTTACGTCACCAGGTCCAGGTGCCCATTATTGATGACGTCACGTGCCGTGAGACGTACGCAGAGTACGGTGATTACGCAATCGGGCCCGGCATGTACTGTGCAGGGTACGAGGAGGGGGGGAGGGACTCCTGTGGTGGGGACAGCGGGGGACCGATGTCATGTCAACTGGATGGCAGGTAAGACAAGGCGCTAACTTTTTTGTTGTTTTCATGAATGAAGACCGTTATTGGTTATACTTTTTATAAAATGCTTAATTTTTGTTATTTATTCGTACAGCTACAGATGTTTTATCTAATGTATTGTTTTATTGTGTTCTGTGTAATGTTTCTTTATTCCAACACAAGCTTAAGGGTGCATAAGGATAAAATTTTCAACGACCAGGTCCACTGTCGCCTTCAATGGCCTCAAGACAATGTCTTAATTAACTAGGAGGAAAAAAAGTGGTAATATTTTTTATTCCAACGTGCAGTGTGTCATTCTCCCAATATCTCAAAACTATGAGACGCCAAAAGCTCTACTGTCCTGTTTATGGAATGTGCATAAAAGTTACAACAAAGTTTTATATGAGAAGCTTTTCATCTTTATTAAATCTTTAATAAGACTGCATTATTTGTATTTATTTTCCGTACAGATGGACGATGGTGGGCGTGACCAGCTTCGGTGATGACGAATGTGGCCGACCCGGAAGTTATGGGGTCTACACAAAGGTCAGCCACTACATGGACTGGATCCGGTGGGTCATGGCGGAACATGGCGGCGAGTGAGCGGGCTCCGGGAGATAGATAGAGGGTTTCTAACGAGAAACCCCTGGTTGTTTAATGGGACATTATGTAACATTACGTAGCATTAGGACAATACAAAAAGTCAATTTTCTACACAGTTCTTACTAAGTAATTTGAATCAACCCTACTCCATTGCAAAGTGTGTCAGGAATTTAAGTGGAGGTGCCTACATATGAAGACTGTAGGGGTGTTGGAAACAGCTGTCAACCATGTTTGTGTACATGTTGGTATGTTGTGGTGGTGGTAGGGCTAACCATAAATTTCAGAAATGTGAGATAATTGCACAAAGATGTTGAAAAGTGGAAGTAAATCGCTATCACACAAAATATGCACATTTTTGTTGCAATGCCCGTTTTACTGAAAATGTTTTGAATCGACAGGGGGATTAGGCATACATTACATGCAATGTACCGGATACCGTCATTGATACAGATACTATTTTGAACTTAGTGAGCATTAAATAAAAAATCTTGGATGAATCACGTAGAGGAGAGGGGTATTCGTGGTCCAAAAACATGTATTAAATGTTTCACGTAAATTGCGTTCTTTAGTCTGATTTAGCTTAATAGGAATTTTTGCAAGCAAGCTAACGCGCGTCAGTTGTCAGCTGTGTACTTGAGGATCCAGTCGATGTAGTGCCCCACACGGGTGTACACGCCCGGCTTGCGGGGGTCCGCGCACCCTTGTCCGAAACTGGTGACCCCCGACACGAACCACTGACCCAGACGGGGGCACGTCAGCGGACCGCCGCTGTCTCCCTGGAACATACGACAAAAGTTTCATGAAAGTTCATCTGTGTTGGTAGTTACATGTTTAAAGTTATAACTTTAGGTCCGACACAAAAATTCTCTCACCTAGAGCCTTCGACCAGTCACTCTGGTCTTCTTCAGATGGTCAGTCTACTGAGGAAGACCAGAGTGACTGGTCACAAGCTCTAAGTGAGAGAATTTTTGTGTTGGACCAAAAGTTTTAACTTAAAACAAAAGTTTGTAACACCACAATTTGTGGTGATTAAATGCAGACCTGTACTACAGAATAACAGACTCACAAAACACATAAAACGTGGTGAAGAATAATTTATTGGATTAGAAGGAATCGTAATAGATTAGAAGGAACGACCCTGTCCTTGGTGCTGAAACTACACACATTTTAAAACAGAACCGTATGGTGCTTCTAAATAGCTTCATGGCCAACCTATACGGTAGAATTACAGAGGATACAACTTAATACAAAACACATAATAGGTGGTGAAGAAAAAGGGAATCCCAAAACTGATGCGAGCGTGCGAGTATGGTATGTCGAATAATAGACATTTCTTCACATTTTCCTCTTTTCCTTTGGCATTCTACTAGTATCGTTTTCCAATAATTTTTGTTGTAATTCACGGCATTTATTTTGTCATTTTGCAGCTGCTTTGTACGGTTTTCAGTATGGTCAAAAACTAACTTTTTTTAAAAGATGGACGCAGTCGTACGTACCTGACATGTGTCGGAGCCGCCGCTCTCGTACCCAGCGCACACCATGGTGCTCTTGATGACGCTACCCAACCAGCTCCGGCACTGGGAGTTGGTAAGCAACGGGAGCTGGACCTGTTTCAGGTAGTTGTCGCCTCCGGTGCCTGCATTTCGAGAGGTGGGGCATCCAGTTAATGAGTTTCGGCATTATGCAGTTAACATCATTGAATAGTTTCATCAGGTTGGTATACGTAAGTCACTGAGTAAAGAGACTTTTTTTACACAACCAAGTCTTTTATTTAGCCGACGACCACACTGATGTATATATCCAACTTTTTTTATTTTTGGGAACTCATGATAGATACAGTTTCCTTTAACCACGTATATGTGTAGATGTGTAAATATTGTACGTTTGGGAATGCATCTATAGCAGCGACACCTGTGCAATGTTAACCAGTCAGAATTGCCCTGAGAAAGGTGACAGACGGTCACCGAAACGTCAGCAGAATGAAAGACTTGGTTGTGTAAAAAGGGTCTCCTTACTATACTCATTATGCAGTTAATTTTTGCACTGAAGGAAAACTCATCGCTTTTCTTGCTCACCTTCTGTGTTGCCGAAGCCAGTTGCCACGCATATAGCGCCATCTGGCGCCTCTGTCTCGGTAATGCAGGCCTGTGAGACGTAATCGTTCAGTGAGACGCGCCCGACCAACTTCAGCAGGGCGATGTCATTGGTGTTCCTGGTAACAAAAAAAGCGGGAAAAGTTAAGTGAAAGAAAACCTTATTATGTACACATGCTTCCATGGACCCTGCCTCAAATAAGGCCGTGCTTTCTCTGACTACTTTAGTATATATTTTTCCGATAGGGCTACAGTGGCACAAAAGCCTTATTGGGATGGAAGTTGTATGTCAACGTCTACTTCTGCTTTACTTTACTTGTTTTGACACTGTGCAAGCAATTAGCCTTCGGGCATGGCTTTGCAAACAAAGATAATTATAGGTTAAAATAGAATTCTGTTGAATCCTTCATTTAGATGATGCATGTTAAACTCACTGTCCCTCCTGCTGGTAGCGTGGATGGACGATGATCTGTGCGACTTGCATCCTCTGTTCCGTGGAGTCAGTGGAGCCCTTGTTGTGCTTCCCCACTTTCACAATGAAGGAACCTGGGTTTGTCCTATATGGTAGAAAGTACAGATAGCGTGGAGTCATCAAAGGCAAATGATCGTTGTCCAAAAGTCGCAACTAAACTCAACATGTGTCTCTAGACATTCTCGGGCGATATATAAAAACGTCCTATCTGGTCACTTTGTCTAATCTCTAAGCAGGCCGTCCGATGGTTGTAAAGACAGTATCAAATTTGCCAGACAGTTGCCATTTTCCACCCGAGTTAGGCTGGCGTAAAAAAAGTCAAAAAAAAAAAAACCTGCCAAAAAACTGCCAAAGGCTAAAACTGCCAAAGTCTAAACCTTTGCTTGGAGAATGCACTTGGGCCTGTGCTGGCCGGGAATAGATATAGAAGACTACTGAAATCATGAATACTCACGAGAGCTGTGCGAAGCAGTGCGCCGCGGACAGTACCCATTCAGGGGCGATGAGGGTGGCTCCGCAGACGTGCTGACCGTTAGAGCCGTACTGTGAATTCATGAAACAACGGTATAACAGCATGTCATGACATGAAGCGTTGGTCATGGCTGTGAGTTGATCTAGCCTGTGTTACGTAGTCTCTCACTGTCAAGGGCTGATCGTTGCATTTTTAGAATATTTTCAACTCAATCGGAGTACTATACCATCGACTCCGCCCCTGAGGCGTCGTCAAAAAGATCGCTGTGCTCACCCCGAGGGAGACTTGCCAAGGCCAGGATCCAGGCGTGGCCACAGAACCGCCCACTATCCGGGAGAACGTGGGCTGGATGGCCTGGACACCGCACGTACCCAGGTCTGCATTGTCTGAAAAACGTACATAAACAATGAGTTTATCTCTAATTGTACTCTCTATAGCAATGAACGAAATTGACACTTTGACGTAGTCTCCGCCGAATTCTACCCTTCACGTTCACATGTATACAGATGAAAAGAAAACTACTAGGCTATTATCTAACAACCCACACATTACAGAAAAAGTGGGATCTTTTCTATTTCACTGTCTTCCTGTTAGGATTCTTATAAATCGATATCTAGTTCTATAATACAATAGTTTCAGGTGTTCAGAACTTCAGATATTCAAGTTTGCCGTCCCATTTCCATCACGCCCGATACAAATTGATGTCATGATTTGATACATAATACGGATAGGACGACATGCAACTTACCACATTTCGGGACGTCACAGTGTTCCCAGCGTACATTGGGGTCAGTAGTGTAGCACCAGGTACGAGGTTCTCCATCCGGGTTACGACAGTAGTTCTCACGAAGGTCATTTTCGGGGTAGTTTTGTGGAGTTCTTCACCATGAAAAATGAAGCAAAAATACAAGGTCTTACTTACATTGGATTTTTTGAAAAGGAAATGCGCAATGATAGATGATTATGATAAGAGAGAATCTAGAGAACTGGGTATTGCCTGGGACCTAGGTTAGACCAAGCCATGTGCATTCTAAGGACAAGACTGACAGCTTGCAAAGAAATAAAACTGACAGATGTGTTTCCAGCTTTTAAACACACTCGTAAGGTATAATATTTCGGTACCTCTGCTTCCTGAATGGCACTTGCAATTTGCAATGGATCATGTAGTACGCAGGGTTGATTCAACTTACTTTGTAAAAAAAAACTTTTTGTATCGTCTTGATGTCGCATAATGTAGCGTAAAGTTTTGTCGACACTTGTCAAAATTGAAGGCTTTATTCACCTGTCATGTTGATGGGGGGACTGGGAGTCCCACCGCTGGCAGGTCAGACCGGAAACGGAAGTGGCCTTTGACCCCTTGTAAAACTCACCGGTGTTGAACATGCAGTCTGGAAAGATGACACCATATTGTTTATTCAGACTATCATTCCAAAGTTGTGTGCAATGTTATACTTTTGCCACAATAAACTTTGAAGGTCTTAGTTCTTACCCATCTTATTTTGCGGCCAATATGAATGTGTTTGAGTAAAAATTAAGAGAGCAGACCATATGCGAAGCTAAACTTTATGCATTTGCTCTGCAAATGTTACCTTTCTAATTCTGTTTATATTTTATTGTGCAAAAACAAACAAACAAACAAATAACGTACCACACTGCGGAGCGTCACAGTAGCCGAAGCGCACGTTGGGGTCCATAGTGTAGCACCACGGCCTCAAGTCGTTGTCGGGGTTGCGGCAGTAGTTCCCGTCCAGCCCGGCGTCTGGGTAGTTGGCGGGGGTGAAGGCATGTCCGTGCGGGGCCTGCACGGACCACGGCTGGCATTCCAGCCCGGCAGAAGTGACGTTTACCGACCCGCGGTACGCACTCCCCCGGCCGACATAGCAGTCTGGTAGGGACAAACCGTGTACAGTTATGGCAATGGCAGGTCACATTCGTCATAGGCCGTCGTCCGATTTTGATGTAGTAGACTTACAAGGCTTCATTTCTTATATTTCTTACATTCAGAAACTGGAATATATTATTGCAAAACGACAAGATAAGATCCAGAAACATATTGGGAAGTGGGGTGAATTTCATATTGTCCTTTCGATGTATTTTATTACAAAAGAAAAAATTTCAAGTAGGCCGTACCAAAACCATCCGTCGACGAGGATCTAAGACAAGACAGAATTTGATGACACGACAGATGCAGGACCTATCCCAATGATGCCCTGTTTGCGATCATATTATACGATCATGCGACGTATTTTATCAGAGCTTTAGCGGGAATTTCTAAAATTATAACTTTGTGCGTTGCATATCTACTGCCAGAGTCTGTAGATCCCTCTTATAAAAATTCTAACGGCTCTTGAAATAAAGCCATTCCACAAAACTACTGCTACCGAGTGTGTTTATATACGTTGGATATTTATTGGAATATAGAATATACAACAGTCTGATATATTTAGGTATAATGGTTCGCATGAACATTGCTGAAACACAAGCGCCAGATTCACCGTTAAGGACATTTCCAATGAAAGAATGCGGCATATGATACCGTATCTGCCTATAATGAAGTTTATATCAACAATACTATCTTGTGAACAGGGATATCTTACGTCTACGAAGGAACAAACAAAATCCACTTGCGGATTTTGGAAAGACAAACCTTGAGCTGCCGACAAGGCCAAAAGGCCCAGAAGTGCTAGAAGTTTCCTCATAATTGTATCGTCTGATTGTGACAAACTTTGCTCGGACAATTCTATCGGTTGTTCCTACACTGGAGACGGGACCAGATGGCCCTATGCTATGACGTCTACGATAACGGATACACACGTATGAGATTCAATAACGTTATCTTTCAAAACATAAAAACATGAAAACAACAGCTGTAGGGAAGAGGTAAAAGTTACAATTACACATTTGTCATACAAGACACATGATGCTTTAATCCACATTTCCCACTACGTGGTTAACTTGGGAAACCTTAGCTTTTACTATACTGTGTACAAATGATGGTCTAGTCGGTCGAAACGCTGTTGATAAATGTATATTGACGGAACATTCAAGCATCATAAAACTGTTGCCAAAATTTGTCCTTCCTGAGCCTTTTAGTTTTACAGAATGGTGCAAAATCCATACCCTGTACTACAAGGACTCATGTTAGTGCCCATCCTTTAGCGGTGGAACTTAGCAGAAGCTCGAAGTGTGATATACCGTTAGATAATGTATTCTGAAGACAGGACCCAATGAGGCGTGCCGGATACCACGTGACTTCCTCTCGCGAAGTCTCGTGAGAAAATGACCAACTGGCGTTCAAACTTCGTAGATAGCGATATCTCAGCTAAATACACTTAGCGAAAAACCTGTTGAAATTTTGTCAAAAATTTGCCAGCAATGTTGACTCTATATCTACCGCGTACCGACCTTGCCAGGCCGAGCGAACGATAGGTCAGAATGAAGCCTGGCTATATGATATTGCTCACGTATAGTGTGCATCTTGTACTCTTATTGGGCGGGCTATATGAGCTACATTTTCCCAGGAAAAAGTTTTCAAAACAATATTGTATGATCACGAACAGCTTCTGAATGTTGCTTATTGCGTTTGTTCTTAATTACAAACTCTCAAGAAAACATTCAAGTTCTTGCTTCTTTACAGTGTCGTCATTTTCACTTCAAGTGCTACAGTGCAAATACGATACATGCTGCATTCTTTTTCATATATCTAGCAAATTTGACCTGTCGAGCATAAGTTTGTCTTCATTTTATTGGAAATATCTGGAACTGCCTTTCGGATGTTTCACATGAACCATTTGCCCTTTTCACGGATGTAACATCTGTATCATTAATGTCATAATACAAAGTCCATGGATGTCGTCATTTTTGTAGAGAAGGGAAGAATCGTTAAAGAGATTCTTTTAGTCTATGCTATGTATTGATTTTGTCATAATAATACTAATGAGTGAAATAAATTATGTGTTCATTATCGTAATAATGGCAATTTATAAACTGGTGCGCTAGTTAAATGGTAATTCATTATTTTTCACTGGTTTTCAAAAGCACAATGATACCCTCTTACTTTTTGAATCGCCCCTTTATTTCCGCCATATTGGGTGTGGCAGGGTGGTGGTAGATATTTCATCATCAAAAATCCACACACGGTACAAAAGCGTTCCTAGAAAGAAGCTTCTGTCTCGATTCGTCTGACCTGATCAGTTCAATGATGAAGTCTTTCCTGGGTTTCTTGGCCATTGCCGCTATTTTCTACACCACAGAGGTGCGTGAGTTTTTTTACAATTCTTTTACTTAAATGTAAACTATAACTTATAGAATCATTGTGAGGCTGTAGAGGGGCTATTCCAAACATTGGTACCGTTTAACAAAACGCAAACATATTGAGGACGACCTTCTGCCACTATTTTGTGTCTTTAGCTGCAGTAGTTGTGTTAAACCAGTCGAAATGTATGAAAATAGTCACTCCTCGCACGTAATTCTCACTACAGGCTCTGCTTTTCGAGTCCTTCTGCTCTACCGATGCGGACTGTGAACCTAACGAATGTTGTGAGCGGAGCATCGTTCTGAACAGCTGCAAGCCCAGGGTAAGGATATAAGTGTCCATTGGAGTAGTATTCAGATTGTTACGTTATCAATGACAGCGTTAACAGCACGTTATGAAAGAAACGTGGTGCTCTGTACATGTCGTTTTTTTTGTTATTGTTGAATGTGCATGTGCATGTATGGTCAGGTTACTTGACCAATTTTTTCAGTGCTCAGAGTCGATTATACCTCAGTTTAACAGTTCAGAATTGTGTTATGTTGACCTATAGATTCTAGGAAAATATTGTCAATTACACCAAGAAGGCAATTGCCCCCTTAAAGTACAGACCGCCATCCTTTCATTAAGACTGAAAAAAAAGTATTAAAACAGAACGGGGGGAACTGCTCGACGATTAGTACTATTTACTCAATGTTTGCGCATACACTGACGCGGAGGCTCCCGTGTATTTCCCCCACAAAGCCCGGCCTTTACGACTACTGCAACAGCAACAGCCTCACGCTGACCGGGCTCTGTCCCTGTGACGAGGGGCTGGAGTGTGTCGACTACAACCAAAACTTCGTCTTCGACATTGTGACCGGCGACAGCTGGTGCGTTGCCCTGCCGGACGTCTAGGCGAGGTGTCCCGGAGAAACTACACACACTCCTCTCGGTCATTGTTGACGTGAATAAAAGTCCATGCTGAAAACTGTGTCCGGTGGATCTTTCATACACATGCCCTTCATGTACTTCTAGCCGTAGCCTCTCACCCGCCAGCAAACTTTCTCTTACTTGAAGACCTCTAGAGACACATGATACCTGGCAATCGCCATGATTGACCCCATAGCTATGTCACTATTTGATTTTCTGTATGAAGCATGTCTTATAGGTATTTCTTTTCTTTTCTAGCATTGTTAGTAGAGAAACGTGGAACACGAAGGGAAACCTATTGAACTATGTCAAACCTTGGTCGAAAAGAGAAATGTACTTCGCTTTGCGGATTCTGTTCTTTATCGTTTTTGTACCGAACACAAGCAACGGTCAGCATCAGATCGACGCTCTTTGTATGTGCGCCGCGTGAAGGTAGACGCAGTGTCAGAAAAGATGTAACTGCGCGTGCTATGTACTAAAAAAAGCAAATGTTTACTTTTAGTGTCCCTGAATCTATGTATGCGCAGCGACGCCCCGCAGCGAGAAAAGGAAGCAAAACAAGATAACAGGTTGTGAAGAGGAAAAAATGTAATATTCTATCAATGAGTTTTTTTTCACCGTACAGCCCGGCCTGTACGAGTACTGTTACACAGTTCGGGGGATGTATGCGCAACGACATCTAGCGGCGAGAAATGGAAGTGTAACAAAATTACATTATGTAGAGTGAAACTGTAACATTCTCTGTTTTTTCTCGTCCTGTAGCCCGGCTTGTACGAGTACTGTAACATCGGCAGCCTGACTCTGACCGGACTGTGCTCCTGTGACGAAGGTCTGGAGTGTGTGGACTACAACCAGAACTTCGTCTTCGACGTGTTCACCGGGGACAGCTGGTGCGTGCCCATCCCAGACGTGGTCGGATCGGGCGGAGGATTTCAGTAGGCCGCCCCCCTCCCCACCGCCGCCTATCACCGTGGCCTGTTGACGGCATATTCTGGTCACAGATTTGCAAAATCCAACTGTTGATTGATCAAATAAAATGTGAACTGATCTGAAAAATGACTTCGTCGTATTGTGTATGCTACAGTATATAATCATGGAATATTTATTTGATAAACCGTGTTTTCGATTCGATTTGGTAGGTTTAGTGGGCTATATCATCAATTCATATCTTTCAGTATCACATCTATTTCACTACATGTGCGCAATCCCAACAACGAGCACTATCAGAAAAAGTAGTAGAAACAGTTGAAAGGGCCGCAAATGGTCAACAAAATACCCTCGACCTATTCATCTGTGTTTGGAGATCAAAACGTCGTACAGTAGCTGGGATACTGTAAAAGGTCGTAAACAATGATACTGGGTAAGAGTTAGAGAGGGAATCGGACAATGCTTTTATTTTCACTGAAGTATCACCTCTGACTTTCTTATGCACATTAAAACAATCTAACACAGACATATTGGAATGGCTGCACGTATCGTAAAAAAACTGCGCAGACTACCGCATGTGTCATGCCCCAAGCCTATGAGCAACGCCTGGTCCCACTACTCTCCAAGCAGAGTTTGGTGGGGATGATTGTTGCCTTTTTATGTATGCCCCGTTTGGTGGGGTTAGCGACCAAAAACGGGACATGTCTAGGAAGGTAACGATCTTCCCCACCACCCTCTGCTTGGAGAGTAGGTCCCACAAGGTATTGCCAAAAAGAAATTCCCTATGGGGAATGCATTGGTTGAATTTTTAGAATATTTGCACCTCAATCGCAGTACTATACCAACGGCTCCGCCCCTGAGGCGTCGCCAAAAAGGTCGAACGTGTCGAGGGCTGTATCTCTTGCGGAGTTACCCGGACAAACATGTTCTATTCCGGTAGTACGGTTGCGCAAGGAGAACGATGCCGGACATCGAGATATTTGGGCAACTTTATCTTATCAATTCCTACCGGTATTTGTACGGTATTTAACAAAGGGTTCGAGTGGGTTTGCTTTCTAATTTCCTGTGACGCAAATCGGCATCAGACCCGGCCAACTCCCTTCAGGAACAACTCCAAACAACAGTTAGAGAAGGCGTGAGAGTCTGTGCACCTGGTCATTACGTCATCATGTATGCTTTTACGTCTTTCTTTTTTTTCCTTTAGAAACCCAGAAAACGTACAATAAGTCATGGAAATGGCACTTATATTTAGTTCTATCTAAACTTCACGACCTCCTTACTTGAGCGGCAAAGGATACTACAGAAATCTGCAACAGGTATGAAGAGTGATAAATCCAACTGGTGACTATAATTTCTTCCCTGACATCAACCAAACCAAACCTAGTATTGGGGCACATCTTTCGTGAAACATATAACTGTAGTGGGAAAGTCCAGAAAGTCAATGATGAGGTCTGTGATTTGGCTCATATCTATTTATTATTAAGAGTCGACACAGCATTTTGCGCATTTGAGAACGAGCCTTTCCCAAGGGCACAAGACCGGTGGCATGGCAGGATTCGAACTCGGGATCTCTTGGTTCCGAGCCGAACGCCCTGTCGTTACGCCACACGACCCCACAAGAACTATCGTTTGGAAGGTCAAGTTATACAGTTCCCTTTATCCTCTCTCCCTCATACATTCTGACAATCAATGACTCTGACACAAGTGTATGCATACGACGCGTAACTTTATTTAGTCCTCAGCATTATTGGAAGGACCTTTTTTCTCAGAGCGGATCGGAGGAGACGCTTGGTCAGATTACATCCCATCCCCGCTGCCGGGCGCGACGGGGGCCGTCACACACCAGCCATCGCCGCTGAAGAAGTCAGTGAAGGAGCTGGTGCCGTAGTCAGCACAGGCCAGCCCTTCCGCACAGGGGCAGTAGCCGGTGATAGACAGGGCGTCGTTGTTACAGCTGTCATACAGGCCGGGCTGGGCAGCAAGAGAACAACGGATGATAAACAAGAATTCGGAGATCTCAGACCTCCATGAAATATTTAGATCTTGTGTGATGGTGTGTGAAGTCTTTCGTCATCATGCAAGGGAAGCAACACTATCTAGGTGGTCAAAACATAGCGCTATAAGTTGTAGACGTGATCAATGACCTTTCCCCTCTGCGACAGACTGAACCCAACCATATCCATTACAACCTGACCTAAGGGTCATGCAGGCACGCACGCACACACACACACACACACACACACAGAGAGAGAGAGAGAGAGAGAGAGAGAGATAGCGCTGTTTATCTTAAGCTGGTATGTTACGCCGAAAGGTGGTTATGTTGGCTATACAGATACAAACCTGTAGTCTGAAATCCACCCTAGTTAGCTGTCTGTCCGCTCACAAAAAGTTGGGGAGCCATTTTTGAGGAGCGGACCTATAAGCTAACAAGGGTGGATTTCAGGGGACAAAGCCTGATGTTTTTCCTTACCCTGTCCTGGCAGGTGTTGATGATGAAGGATCTAACGCAGCACTGGTCAGGATCACAGTCCACGTGGCCGTTAGGACACAGCCACGCCGCCTGTACGGGGACAATGTACCACCAAATCACACATTTCCAAGCCGAGCTGAATCGTAGCAAACTTTTCTCTACGATAAAGTGTTCAGTCTATTATTATTCCCATAAACATTGTGTCGCTCTAGTATGTTTAATGAGACAATGTCCTTAAAAACGGTTTTAAAGCGATATTATGCAAGATGTTTGCGCCCAAACTGTAGATATATGTGTATAAACAATCGAAATTTTCTCATCTAGATTGTCATTTTCTCTAACTTTCAACATATTAGCGTCGCTGTTAAGCTTTTTCCCGCGACTCAGCGCAGCGCGAGAATAAGTTGCGCCAGGCCCGCTGTATTTTTTTGAAGGCTCCTAAGAAGAAAGTACACAAACAGCGGTTTTCGTTCTGATATCTTCGGCAGTATTCCAACACGAAACGACGTTGATCTTTTACTCCCCAAACGTCATTATGAACCTAGGAAGGCTTATAGTTCAAATAAAATGTGCGAAACAACGATGTTTGAAATAGTAAAAATCTTACATAATGTCGCTTTAATACTTATAGTTCAAATGATTCACAGATGTCTCAGATTACTACTGAATTTTGATACAAACATGAAAGAAAAGTCAACTTGAGAGAAAACCATTTTTTATTGATATGCAATGAATGTTGATGGAAGAATTTTGCAATGAGCTCTACAGTGACGGTTGACACACGGCAACATCTACATCTTTTTACCATTGAAATAGCGTCGTTTTTTCTTCATGCAACCTTTTATATTGGCTCATTTCCTTGTAGTAGTTAAAGCGTTTGGCATCAATTGTTTTAACTTAAGATCTTTTGAGAACTTTTTCAGCTTCGGCTAACTTCTAGATCTTTTTACCATTGAAATTATGTCGTTTTTTTTCTTTAACTTTAACTTCTTTTCTTTTGGCTCGTTTCCTTGTAGTAGTTAAGGCGTTTGGTATCAATCATTTTTAAGATCTTTTGAGAACTTTTCTCATCTTCTCATCACGGCCATTATAGAACACCTTCTTATATCATATAAGAATATTTGGACTCCGACTGTTACCTAGAAGATATCATTACTACTTACGTTAGCAGCTGCCACAAAGGCGAGAAGAAGAACGATTTTCATGATGCTCTAGATGGGTGACCGTCAGTCGGAGTATGGAGGAATTCTAGACTACGCGGTCCTGTATTTATGATCACTACCTTCGTGACGTAGTGCATGTATGTTTGTAAACATTCTAGTCCGGTTTTTGTTTGAAAAATAAACATCCTAATCGTACGTTTTCCGTGGATGTGGGTGGAGCCATCTTCCGTATCTTATCTGGGTAAAAACTTTCTGTAAATTTTGTTGCCGGTCCACGCAAGGTTTGCTGATAGAGCCAACTGTTTTAAAGACGGAGGGGTGGAAAAATCTAGTATAAGTATTAAAAAAAGACAGAGGTATATCTAGTAAAACGCCAGAACTGGAGGAAATTAACTGCGCTTTCTTCAAGGCTTTGTGGGTTCTTGGGTCCTGGCCTAAAATAAGTTTAGTTTAATAAGATGACTCAACTATTAGCTATAACTTTGGCGTCACCCCCTGTGCTATTATAAGTATAGCTTAAACTAGCTAAAACAGGTCCTGAATTCATACGTCATAATCAGAGGTCGACGCCCACTCGGATTAGTTATATGGTCTCCCGTTTAGTTTGTTGGGTCAACGAACTTCCAACGCTAGCTGTTTGAAGCTTCCAAAACTATTGCTCCAACCATGGAGGTAGAAACTACCTCCATGCTCCAACGTAACACAAAGAAATTCTCTCTCCTACAGCTTTCGACCAAATCACTCTGGTCTTCCTCAGTAGACTTATCCATTGAAACTTGTCACGTGGCTTCTAGGTCAGAGAATTTCTTCGTGTTGGATCAAAAGTTTTAGCTTGTAATTACCAACACAGATGAACTTTCATGATAGTAGTTTCAAAGCTTTATAGATGATAAAACCCACTGAACGTGACAGCCATAGTCACTGCGTGATATGACGTTCTTTTAGTGGTACCTAGCAAGATTTTCTGACTAAAAGTTACACGACACAAACACAATGTGCGTACATACGATCGACGTGTTAATTTATTTAGCCCTCAGCAGTACTCAGCTGCTTCGAGCTAAAAGATTTTCTTCTCGGAGGGATGAGTTAAGCGCCGTTCCCGCTGCCCACGTCGTGGACACACCAGCCGTCGCCGTTGAAGAAGTCGGAGAAGGAGCTGGTGCCGTAGTCAGCACAGACGTAGCCGTCAGCACAGTCGCAGTAGCCGGTCACAGACAGGGCGTCGTTGTTACAGTTATCATACAGGCCGGGCTGGGCGGGGAGAGAAGAAAAATGTGATACAAAGAATCTGCCAATGTTAATTTGATTATATGGATGACATCCTCTGGAAACCCCAAAACTGATGCGAGCGTGCGACTAATAAAAGTTTGGCAAAATCTACGTGATCATGAAGGTAGAACAAATGAGTTAACACACAGAGTGTGGTGTGGTCAATAGTAGACTCTTCATTTTAATTTCTTCACGTTTTCTTCTTTTCGTTTGGAATTGAGTATGGTCAAAAACTTTTTGTGCCGATCATACGTGCGCGGATGCCATATAATCAAATCATCATGACCATCATCATAAGTTACATATGCATAAAATACGTATACATGTCGAAAATAAAAAGAGTGGTACTTGTGATAGTTAAACTATTTCTAGATGGTTACGGTTTTGCTTACACAGACATATGTCATTGTTGTTGAAGCTGGAAAGTTTTATTTACCCTGTCATGGCAGGTGTTGAGGATGAAGGACCTGATGCAGCACTCGCCGGGGTCACAGTCCACGTCACCGTTAGGGCACAGCCACGCCGCCTGGCGGATGAGAACATAACAGCAAATCTTACACCAGTTGGAAACTTTAGCCTGCTGTCAAACCATATACATGATCCTACCAAATATATGACACCGACACTACTTGGGGGTTTCCAATATACCAGAGACAAGGGCTGGGAGGGGTTTAGTCGTGACGTGGGAGACTAAACCTAACCTAACACCAATCGTATCTCTAACCCTAGCCCTGAACAATGATCCCAACCCTAACCCTAACTCTAATACCAGCCCTAACCCTAACTCTAGCCCATGTTTGAAAGTCTTTTCAGCCTTCGGGATGAATTGTCAACTGTTCTTACACCTTAAAACACTTTTGAAACTTTCTACATCAGACAGCGAACTTTGAAAGCACATAATAAAAGCACTTAAAACCGTAATCGTGCGATAAAGTCTGCCACTTTAACGGTCAAAATTAAGCTACGGTTCTCGATGGACATTTTACTTCTTTCTTGAAAAAGTTCAAATCATTTTCAGTAGGAAAAGTAAGAATTAAAGTTTTTCTCTAATATATAGTTGAATACTAGTATCTAGATATTTGTACTCACGTTGGCGGCTGCCACAAAGGCGAGAAGAAGAACGACTTTCATGGCGATGTAGTTAGCGGGACGGTCAATCGGCGAATAGAGGGACCCCGGACTGCTACACTTGTATTTATGCACTTGCGCATGAACTTGCCGACCTTGCAAATAAAGATTATCAACATAACAGTGCGTACTGAGTGATACGGTTTATGTGTGTAAACAGGCTAGTCCGGTTCTTATGGTATTTCAAACATCCTACTGCCAGCGTTTCCATGGCAACGGGATGGGCCGTCTCCGGACTTTATCTGAGGCCAAGTTGATTCGATTATATGTATGACATCCGAGCGTGCATGAATTTTCGTCCGTTAAAAAAATTGATAATTCGACCACACTGTACATGTTAATCGTACAAAGCAGCTGGAAAATTAGCAAATATGTGCCGTATATTGCACACTACATATCCTACTTATGTCGTAGGATGCCAAAATCAGAAAGAAGAAAATATGAAGAATGAAAATAAAGAATCTATTATTCGCCATACCATACTCCCCGTGTTTAGTCATTTGTTCAACCTTCATGACAACTTAAATCTCATAATGAAGGCAATTTTTTTTGCCAAACTTTTTTTATTCGCACGCTCGCATCAGTTTTGGGGTTCCCAGAGGACGTTATCAATATAATGAAATCAACACGGCCGTACGTATCTGAAAGATGAAAAAAGTACAGGAAGAGGGGCACATATATTCGATGCCTGTATAAGCAACATCTATCTTAACTTTATGAAACCCTAAAAATACGGGATCAAATTCTGATTGAAAAATATGTTTCAGCATTACACACGGTAGCCTTGGTACCATCCGGATTTCCGCTCCGCAACGATCGAAAAAATCACGTTGCGGAGCGAAAATCCGGATGGTACCCAGGCCAGGCTATACGCACGGTGGAAATGACACAAGTATTTGCTATATCCTTGGCGTTACGTTTATTTATCTTCAGGGTCACGTCATTTCCAGAAGATCGATTTGAGGTGAACACCTGCAAACTTACCATACTGGCTGTCTTCCTTCTTATTTGTTAAGTCAACGCACTTTGAAGGCAGATGATGAAATTACAATGCAAAACATAACAGGCTGCCCTGTATGACAATTTATTCAAAGGGAATAAAGTACTGTTCGGAGCTTTTCTGTCTGTTTGCCTGCCTGTCTGTCTCTCTCATTGCGCGTGTGTGTTTCTGTGCTCGTGTGCGTTTGTATGTTTGTGTGTGTGCGTTTGTGTGTGTGTGTTTGCTTGTTTGTTTGTTTGTTTGTTTGTTTGTGTGTGTGTGTGCTTGTTTGTTTGTTTGTTTGTGTGTGTGTGTTGTCTGGTGATAATGGTAACAGAAATTGCTAAAATGCTTTAGGAGTGAATGAACGCAGCTTTTTGCATATTTAATTGTTATTAAAACCCCAACCTAGATAGGATTGTTTTACAACTGTATATCAAGAAACAACAATGCTAAGAAGATCTTCTTCCCACATTTTCTTGATACCAAATGGCCAGAAAAAGACATGAAATCTGACATCTTCGATGGCCTGTAGACCAACTACATTTGAATTTTTTTCTTGCTTTGAAGAAACATATCACGTCAGTCATATGCTGTTACTGTGGAGCATGGCGTAACGTCTCTGTATCTGTATACCCGGTATAACCGCCCTTCGGCGTAACACACCAGCTTCGCAGGCACGCGGCTCGGCGGCAGCTGGCTACATTACACCGAACGACTTGTTACACTAAATCTTTTCACATTTATTAAATTGCAGGAGTTGTTTAAAGCTTTCTAGTGATGATGCCCCAGCTGTGCTTCGTGACAACGAGTTCCAGCTAGTCTACGATAGTTCTAAAATACGAGATTTTGAATACCTCTATTTTTGGTTGATAACTCTGATATTTGAAGGCATTACTGTTTCTTGTTCTTTTTCTGGACTGGTATCAGATATTTAGTGGTGACTGAGAGGAAGGATAAATTGGCCAAAAATGACCATACTCTGCATGACGTTTCAATGTGTGAGCTTATTAACGTAACGGGAACCGCTTTCTGACCAGAAATGACACAGACACAAGTGTATCCATAAGACATGTTGCTTTATTCAGTTCTCATCCCTGAGCCTGAAAGGTCTTATGTCCTCCTGAAAGGTCTTACGTCCTATAACGGACGACAGTTTTGGTGAGTTTACATGTCGCCGGTGGCAGGGTTCGCTTGGTCTGCGGGCGTGTGGACGCACCAGCCGTCGCCGACCCAGAAGTCCGTGAAGGCGCCGGTGCCGTAGTCAACGCAGGTCAAACCGTCCGCACAGTCGCAGTAGCCGCTGAGAGAGAGACCCTCGTTGTTGCAGGCGTCGTGCAGTTGACCCTGAAGAGTGGATAAAGGAAGAATGTATGCTTTATACACTTTCACGTAACCGTACGAATTTTACGGAATTCAAACGAATTGTGCGGAATTCATACGAATCTTACGGAATTCAAACGAATTTTACTAAATTCATACGGATTTTACGAAATTCATAAAAATTATACGAAATACATACGATCCATTACTCCAGGTGCAAGTCACCAAATTAGTAAGGATCGTATGTTTCTGAGTAATGGATCGTATGTATTCCGTAAAATTCGTATGTTTCTGCTAATGAATCGTATGTATTTCGTAAAATTCGTATGAATTCCGTAAAATTTGTATGAATTCTGTAAAATTCGTAGAGTTCTTTGGCACCCCTGGGATGTATAATAGAAAGGAGAGACCCCAAATTACAGGAATCTACAGAAAACAATGACGGCATTTCATGTCGACAGTTGCTGTCCTAGAAAGGTTACTGCCACGTAAACAGTGTTTGAAAAGAATTTCGTCATCTGGCAATAGCTTTTTAGTACAGTCGATGAGCCGAACTTTAACATACTAAAGTATGACTTTTCTTGGATCTAGACAAAGATTGCCGAAGCTACAAGTATTACGTACCAAGGGCTGGCAGGCGTTGACCAGGATGGATCTGACGCAGCACTCTCCTGGGTCACAGTCTGCGTCACCGTTAGGGCAGAAATACGCCGCCTAGCGGACAAGAACACAACGGCAAATTTTACATCAAATTTAAATGTCGTAATCATAGGAAACATAGGAGCGTCTACGTTAAGTACAATAATGGATCTAAACATGGACACTATGGAAAAGTTTGAATTCAGTACGACTGGCCATTCCTTTGTAAAAGTGTTCCTGGGCCAACTAGTTTGAACTACGAAGCATTCATTGATATGTAATATTTGCTTGATTAAGGATTTTATTGGTATCTTGTAGTGAATTTAATGCATTTACATTACTTTTCATAGCTAAATTTAATCCACGCTATCTGCCATTGACCCACGTTCATGCAATCAATGCAAAGAACAATTATGACACAATTTTGAATTGTACTTTCTCTATAGATTGCAATGGATATATTCTCATTGATGAATATATACTGTAAATGTCATTATGTGAAAAAGTTCCAAGTTTGTTTAGTAGGAGAATATTTCCTTCCCAGACGTAGTTAAATATCGAAGATATGACTACTTACGTTAGCAGCTGCCACAAAGGCGAGAAGAAGAACGATTTTCATGGCGATGTAGTTAGCGGGACGGTCAATCAGCAAGTAGAGGGATACCGGACTACAAGGCCCTGTATTTATGCAGTTATAATTACCGTACGGTCATGAACTTTATGACCCTACATTCAAGATTATAATCATAGTAGTGTATGAACAGTCTAGTCCGGTTTGTATGGTAGTTCAAACATCCTAATGACATCGTTCCAAAAAAATTGTGCAAATTTGAACTGTGCAACATTTCTTCTCGATCGAAGGATGGGCGCAAATGTAATATATGTACATGTATGACTGGTATGTATAAACATAGTCTATTTCGTTAGACTATGTGAAAATCTCAATAAAATATGGGACGATCCTTACTAGGAGTTGGTATGCTGATCAAAATATACGTTTTAGCATGTACGATGGAAATGACCTAACTATCAGCTGTATCCTTGGCGTTACGTCCGTGTGCTACCTTCATCGCCATCATTCACTCACGCACGTTTCGCACGTCGTTTGCAGAAGATCGATTTAGAGGTGAACACCTCAGGCAAATATCACAGTCTAGTTATCTTCCTACTTCCTCTCAATTTTTTGAGTCAACGTTTTTTCAAGGCTTTCCAGATTGTGAAATATGGACAGTAAGTAATAGAATGTCGCCGGTACTAATCTATATCAGTAGTACTTCCAATTGGCAACCGAGTGCGGGAAATATTGTTTTCGGCTTGTCTGTCTGTCCTCCTTTCCCTCGGTGTGTGTGTATGTGTTCACTTTGAAATAAATGAAAAGTTCTTTTTCACATCCTAGCAGTAAGGGTCAAATCCTGCAGCAGCTATTTTGGTAGCGTAGGTGGGTAACAATAGAATAGAATCACCAAATCAACGACATTTTAACGATGCAGGTTATGTAAAGAAACACATTATGTATAGGTCATAGTCATATATACATTCGATGGCGCAAATGCAAAACACGTTTTTTTATACTCTTAACGCTCTGATAGAGATCAAGTCAGAGCTATGAGCTTATCTTCATATAAGCACCTACCCATCACAAAGGACACAAACACACGTTTATGAATACAAGACTTTGCTTTATTCAGTTCTCATTAATCAGACATGTATCGACCTAAAGATGTTTCTCGGAGCTACATGTGTATGACGACAGTTTTTTTTCTTAGTTTCCCACTTAGTTTCCCTGGTTTCCCACGGCACCCGCAGCGGGGGCGGTCACACACCAGCCGTCGCCGCTGAAGAAGTCGGAGAAAGAACTGGTGCCGTAGTCGACACAGACCAGCCCTTCCGCACAGGGGCAGTAGCCGGTGATGGCCAGGGCGTCGTTGTTACAGTTATCGTACAAACGTCCCTGAGACGAATGAGGAAAGAGGAATGGTTGTAAACCTTATCATGGAAGTTTATCTGTGTTGGTAGTATAAAACATAGCTCAATATTAAACTTAAAATTTGATCCCTGTGTAACCTTTGTGTTGGAATATTTTAGCCTGGAGTCCAGCCTTGTTAGCTTTGGTCCTATCCCAAAGATCCGCTACCCATCTTGGGGAGCGGACCAAAGCTAACAAGGCTGGACACCAGGCTAAAATATTCCAACACAAAGGTTACACAGGGATCAAATTTTAAACGACCTCTGTCGCCTTCATCAGGATAACGCATTAACAATGACCAATCACTTCATAACGTAATCTCGCGAGAGTTACGGTTACAGACACGTGACCTTATTTACACGAGACTTTACTGATACGTGGACCCAAGGAGGTTAACCTCCTTGGTGGAACTGAACTTACACATATATAAGTATTATTGGATTTTATTGTATCTAAAAGAACAACGGGAAGGTTTTACGAACCAGGAACTGGCAGCTGTTGACCAAGAGAGATCTAACGCAGCATTGGCCGGGATCACAGTCTGAGTCACCGTTAGGACACAGCCACGCCGCCTGGCGGACGAGAACATAATAGCAAGACTTACACCAAGTATCACAATGATAGAAAACATTTAAAATCATGTTAGAGACATTACGGACACTCTTGTGACTAGGTACGGCTTCTTCTGTTTTTATTTAAGCTTTGTGTTTGTAAGTTTGTATTTTTACCTTCTTGAAAAAAACAACAAATCGGCCTGCAGACCACTTTTTATTGAAGTCATGAAGTAAGAGGTAGGAATAAAATGTATTTTAAAGAAACAGATTGATATTTGTACTCACGTTAGCAGCTGCCACAAAGGCGAAAAGAAGAACGATTTTCATGGCGATGTAGTTGGTAGGACGGTCAACCAACAAATAGAGGCTGGGGAGCCCAGACTACGAGGTTCTATATTTATGCAGTTGCCGTAAGATCACCGTAAGGCCATGAACTTTCTAACCCCAATGTTGAATTTATCATGCATAGCAGTGCAGTATACATGTGTAAACGCTCTAGTCCGGTTTATATGGTAGTTCAAACATCCTAGTAGTAGGGACATGGTTTCCACGGATCGGAAGGACCTTTTTTACGAGTAATATCGGGGACAAAATTATGCAAATTGTCTTTCTTGTAATGGTATCAGAGTCCTCTCGTATTCTTTTTTTGCCGTCGCCTTCCTAATTATTAATAATATGAAAGCATACGTGACACAGTTCATAATTATGTAAACATTCCATTCCGGTTTTAAGACCGGTGCAAACATGTCAACACCCGTGTTGGAATGACTGGGGGGGGGGGTCTTCCGGACCTTATCTTGGGTAAACTTTGTGGACATGTACATTTGCGCACAGGCATGTGAAGAGAGCCAAATGAAGGGAGCTTCTTGTTATATATATAAAGGGGGGGGGGGCACAATTTCAACTAATACGAACTGCTTATCTTCCCTCAAATATGTTGAGTCAACTTAATTTAAGGCTCTGTAGATGACGAAACATACATACTATCAGCACACTATCCGTGATAGTCTCTGGCAAAAGGGAAATTGTTGCATCTTGTTTTTTATCAGGATCAACCCTTTATTTCTGGAAAGGCAAGAGAACATGTGGAGGTGATATATCGTACCACCAATAAAGTGACATTGTAAGTCATTAAAAAACAGTTCTACGAGGTTGTCATTTTCCCTTCCTTCGCTAGGTGGTGTGGCTGTGATGAAACGGTGGACAATCGTACTTTTATCACCTAGCGACATCACTTTAAACTGCAGGCGTCATCAGCGGCGTGCGTTTACGTGTAGGTTACAGTCCCATGGTCATGTGACCTCCGTAGAGACAAAAGTGTGTTAGCATTATTAGTTGAGACCTGTTTGTTCACGTAGGCATCCTCGTGTTAAAACCCTAAAATAAGTTACGAGTACCAACGTTGACCCATTTTCCTGCATATGTAGCTCCATAAAGCCATGTTGATTTGATTATATGGATGACATCCTCTAGAAACTGATGCAAGCGTGCTAATAAAAAAGTTTGGCAAAAGATCGTTGCC